GATGTGAAAGATGCAAGCAAAAAAGGTTTTCAGACTCTTGAAGGGGCCAGATACCTGGATTACGTCTTCCAGAAGTTGATGCTGCAGATCGAGTCTGAGCTGGTAGCCTACTTCGCACCGCCAAGACAGCAGGCCGTGATCTTCTCGGATTTGGACGTGGTTGTTTTTGGAGGTTGGGTGGATACCATGTTGGAGTGCGTCACTGGGCCAAATGCAGCGGACGTTTGCTTCACGCAGCGGGGAGGCTTTGGCACTAACAAGCGGCAGCTCGTAAATGCAGGGGTGTATGCTGCACGTGCAGGAAACGGAGCAAACCTTGCGCGTTTGTTGGCTGAGGTGGTGAAACTCCAAAACCAGGACCTGATTGGTAAATTTCGCACCAATCAACAAATCTTGAATCTCGTCCTTCGGGATGTGAAGCGTGCTGTGGCTAAGTCGCAAGCGACAAAGCCTTTTCGGTGGGGCGTCTACAGCCCCTTGCTGGCATTCACAGGTTTCATGGTGACATCGACAGTACTGTCGATACGCCTGCATCACGTAACCGGATCCGTGGTATCGTCGAAAGACAAGCTTCGCATGATGGACGCCGCCGTGCTCCTGCATGATGACTTGGAACAACTCTGTCCATTCTACACCGTCCGCGGGCGCGTGTCTTTCATCGGTCCGCTGAATGCTTACTGCTTCCAGCTGCTGGCCATCGACCCTCACTTCGGGCATGCTGTGCAGCCGTTTAAGGTCCTGGAGGGCTTTGGAGTGGAGGAGTTGCAATCTCTGACAGTGGTACTGGAGGCGGCTGGCCGGTACTGGCTTGGCCTGCTGGCAGCGCTTATTGAGCCTTTCAACTCGCAGGGAGGCTATCGACATTATCGGCAAGTGCGACGAAACTCGTCGGAGTTTGTTTGCAAGCAAATCCATCAAAAGCCGTGCCAGCGCTGATAAAATTCTGGTTCGAGTCGCCATTGGATGGCAGAGAGGGGCATGGATGCTTAGAGCCGACAGCTGGCATTTCGGCGATAAGTCAGTTCCTGAAATAAGCCGACTCGTTTGTGAGAGCGATAAAGGGAGGGAGGGAGGGAGGGAGGGAGGGAGGGAGATTTTGGCTCAAGGCCGTCTGCTCAAGGTCCGAGCCCTACACGGCAAGTCCACTGCCCTGGAAGGGAGGAAAAAACGAGGTCCGCCAAATGAAGGGCTGAGCCTGGAAGCAATCCGAGACGTCATCATTGGGGACCTGAGTGCCAACACGCAGGCATCGAATTTCCCAATCCGTGAGCAAACGCCTTGACTCCGTGGAGGAGAACGTCGGAGCCTAGCCTGAGCGAGCCTGGGACAGAACAGCCAACATTGTGATGGGGTCCGAGTCTCAGTCCCCTCAACGACAACGCTAGCAGGGAAGGCCACACGACTCATACTCACCCTGGGGGGAAGCCCGCACAGCCTGGAAGTGGAGTGGCCAACGGGGACGGTGTGGTGCCACGCTGTGCACATGCTCGGCGACCAACGCACAGCCGCCGGGCGCAGAGGCCGCCGGAGCGGGACGGATTGACTTCGGCTCCATCGCCAGACCAGGTGACCGAGTTGGGAGCCTCAAACAGGCCATCGATGAGGCGAGGAACCGAGCGAGAGTGCCGCGGAAGACGCCGACCAGGACAACGAGCCTGCGCCGAATTTGTTTCAACCCCTGAAAGTGGGCAGATGGGGGCAGTTTTCTTCTCGTAGCCACCAGCATTGCCACCCACATGCAGACAGCGGTGGTGAGCGGAGCAGTCAGCACTATCCTACGACTACAAGAACACAGTCAGTGGGGGCTTTCTTACTGGCCACATTCCGCGCCACAGCACAATACCCAGCTTACCTCTTGGAGCAACGGGGGGATGCCTTCCTGGAGGAAGGAACAACGGCCCCAAGTGAAGCCAGAGGGAGCCAAAAACCGCCACCTCGACTGGGGGGAGCTCAGACGGAGAAAAAGCAGCTGCTGGCGGACGCGGCGGCCCAATTCCGCCGGGTCATGCCAACCTTGGTGGATGAACATGTGTCTCTGGGGGTGTAGCTGCTCAACGCGGTGGACGCCATGCAGCAGGCCCTCGGGGGAGAACCCACCACCCATGTCTGCGACCATACAGCTCCACGAGAACCAGCAATGGATGGGGGGAGCCACGTGCCGTGCGGACCACCAGAAAAAGAGGGAGCCTTGACGCGCTTTGCAGAGGAGGAGACCAACAAGCCCCAGAGTCAGGGGGGATGGATAGGTTGCACGGCACGACTCCTTCGCAAGCCGCTTGCCACATGACGGACAATATGGTCGAGGCCGTGAATGAAGCCACGCTTTCCCCGCCTTTCAAGGGGGCATGTACCAGCGACAGAGGACCATGGTGAGCCGCCTCCCACAGCCCATGAATCTGGGGGAGAAGAGCCCGGTCCATGGCTACCACGGTACCATGGCACGTGTGGAGCCAACACCTCTCCGCTATACCAGCCGAACTGAGCGCAGTTGAGCTAGCGGGAGGTGAGGCCAATGAGCCTTCCGAAGATAGTGAGAGCGAAGGGGCAAGCAGCAGGGAGAGCCACCGCAGACGTCGGCTCCTCGCGGAGCATTTTAAGGGTGCTCCCTGACCCAGTCTCGTTGGGGGGCTCAGTGGCAAGCGTAGTCTCCAGCGAGCTGGGGGAGCTGTGAAACCTGTTGCTTAGGACGCGCCGGCTTCAGTTGGAGTTAGTGTTGCCTCTTTCGCAGAGTTGTCTTGTCGAAGTCCCACACCCGCCTGTCGTAGCCCCACCAAGACGGGGGGCATTCAGAGCCGCCCCTTCCGGCCCAGTGAGCCGTGAGCAGTGTCCTGACTTCTCATTGCAGCACTGTCGTGCCATGGGCCCAGGCCAAGGCTGACCGGAGGGGGAGGGGACTTCTCAGCTACTCAGCAGTGCTTCACTTTCGCGCCGAGAAACTCACAGAAGACGTACTATTCGTGACTTGTTCTGTATCCTAGTTCTTCCTTCATAATACGTCTTCTGCTGGGGATTGAGGAGCAGTAGCACACGTCAGGCCACGGCACCGCACTCACACCAAGGGGGATGGCTCGCTCTTGCGTTGTACTTTAGTATACTTTAGTCTTGGCATACATAGGTTGCTGCTGTTTCCGTGTTGTTCGCCCAGAGCCCCAGCGGTCCTTCTAAGTTACTCCCGTTGAGGGGATCGTGGATCCAACCACCTTGCTTCGTGATGCACCGAACAGGGGATACTATGATACTGCATCGTACTTTTGTTGCTTTACCGAAACCCCTGAGGGCCACGCCTTCTGGGCAGTTGTGCACCAGTTGTGTGTTGGTCATGTTGGGGGGGCTTGCACAGGGTGGTTGTTGCGTCCAGAAGGTGTGACTCTGACGAGGATGCCTTGAGTGCTGGTGCGGCGGGGGACAGGCAGTGTTCTCTACTGTTTGCTCGTGTTTCTGAGCCGCCTGTCCCCGCCGGCCCGTGTGCAGCTGAGCCAACGGGGGGAACGTCCCTGCGGGCTGTGAAAGCCGTGGACTGCGGGTGCGCGTTCGCGTGCGGGGAAGTGGGGTGGGACCTCCCACTTCCTCTGTCCCGGTAGAGAGAGTAGAGAGTGAGAAAGAGCGTAGCGGGAGACAATCCTGAGAGTATGTTCCAACGGGGGACCGCAACCCCGGAAGTCTCACGCCGACGTGCGCTGGACGCAGTACAGACTGGCAGCCCCTTCGGGGGGGAGGGCCTTGCCCTCTAGCTCTGTAGCAAGCAAGCAAGGGAAAGAGAGAGAGAGAGAGAGAACGAGAGAGAGCGAGAGAGAGAGAGCGAGAGAGAGCGAGAGAGAAGAGAGAAGAGAGAGCGCTTGGTTCGGGGCTTTGACTCCCGTGACTGGCTCATCTGCTGCAGATCGGATCAATTGGCATAATTCCAACCGAGCGCAGGGAACATCCCTGCCGAAGACTTTTCTGCTTCAATGTTGGGTCATGTTCCGGTCGGTTCCTTTTGGTTCGCTGTTTCCCTTGGGGTGGTTCGCCGACTTAATAAGTCGCTCCGCAACAGCCGCGGGCACTAACGCGCGCGGGCGAGGGGGGCTTGGAAAGGAAGAGCCCTGGATGCCAGACGGACAGAGCCCCTTCGGGGGGGGCACGCACTCGTGCGTGCCTTCGCTCTGCAGCAAGGAAAGAAGAGAGAGAGAGAGAGAGAGAGAGAGACGGAAAGGGTGTGTATGTAACAGGGAGGGGGGTGCCTCGGCACGGGTCTCCGCGAGCAGACCTGAACCCATCAGCAAAGCAAAGCAAGGGTGGGTGTGTGGGTGGGTGGGTGTGTGTGTGTGTGTGTGTGCAGATCTGCTGTTGTGGGCGCCCATTCGTGGCGTCTCGTTGTCGTTTTTTCCGGCCCATGTTTGTGTGGCTTGGAGTTGAGCCCAAATCGCCATCTATTGCAGCTGTCTGTTTGGGAGGCAACGACCGCACAAAGAGCTGAACGACGAGCCACAGCCGCTGCTGCAATTGATTCCCGTCATGCACTTTTCTCAGATAAAACATATGTCACATCAGATCATTCATACCATATTATTTCCAAATTGATGCTTTGGTCTTGCTTCTGATTGCTAGTTTAATTGGTAGGAAGTGCACGAGCAGCCATAGTATCAAAATTACAAAATAATGTAGGTGCGACTAATGTTTGTAGCTTTGGTGGCCTAACTGTTTAGATTATCTGCAGTTTGACGAATGCGGATAACATTGAATTGAAGCTGTCACAAATTCTTCCAACATTGCTAGTTTAAGAACTGCGGAATAGCAACGGCAATTCTGAACATGTCGGCACACCCCAACGAGTTTGAATAGAAGCCCGGCATACAGAGGATGACATGCAAGGGGGAAACAATGTGGCACCAGCATGGCTTGGGATTCGCCCGTTGCAAAGGGAAATCCGGTACCGGTAAGTTGTACCGGGCCACGTTCTTGTACCCAAGATCTTCCAAAAAGAGCCAAACTTTCCGGCACAACAGGTACAAGGTGTACCGGATGTCTCCACTATCCAAGATTTCATCGCAGATGCGCCTATTTTCAACATCGAATCATGTTTGACAGACGACCAGCCATTCATACTGGAAAAAGCATAGGCCAAGCAGGGCATCAAGGTCCTGCCATATATGTGTATATACTATATACTATATGTATATGTGGCATGGACCTTTATGTACTATTTGGCGATCTCTTTTGTTTTAAATACAAATACCTATATCTTTTTTATATTTTTTGTATTGAGGTCCTTACGGGCTCGGGACTAGTACAGCGACGACGAC